ATCAGGTTAAGCACAAATCATTGGAGTGGAACACTCACCTAACAAGCAATGCAGTAGTCAAACGTCAAGTATCTCGATTACGGCCACCTTCGTTTCCCAATCCTAGGGCAACGAGTGAAATCGTTAACAAATTAGGTTCATTTCTCACTCAATTGTAGGCTCATTAAGTGATCAAGTGAGTAGTTAAAGCTACTCAATTAATCATGCAAATGAAGTCCAAATTACAGTAAAAGTGCATGATCAAACAAGTTTGGTAGGTGCATGAAAGTTTGGCAAAAGAAAAGTTTCATTCAAACTCAAAAGGTTCTTCACGGGTAAAACAGTCGCGCCCGCGTAGTTTTGAAAGAACGGCTATATCTCACTGTAGGAAGGTCGGAATTAGATGTCGTCGGTGGCGTTGGAAACTAGACTCAAAGGGATTTTCAACGGTACCAAATTCACACTCTAGTTCATCCCCTATTAGTACCAATAGCTCAGACAATTTGGCTGATTTTCCAATTCTGGATCAGCCCTAACCTCAAGCAAAACTACATTAGTTCTTGGTGCTGTCTTCATTTGTTCTGATTCAAATTCACCCAAATCAGTCCCCTAATGTTCATATACAGGGATTCAAGTCACCCAGTACCATTGGAGCTCAAAATGCAATACATCAACATGATTAAGAATGACCATAGCACTCTAGTCATCAAGAGAAACCAAAACAGTCCACTAGTGATCCAACTAACCACTTTACTTGCTTAAATTTCATTCCAACTCACACATGAGCTTAACCAATGGCTAACCAAGTTTCTTAAGCATGATTAAGGTGCAAATGAACCACAAAAATCACAGGAAAACCCCTCCTTCCAATACCGGTCAGCCAAGGAAAAAGAAAAGAGTCCACAAGTTCACATATTTATCAATCCTTCATCCTCTCGTGATTTTCACTCAAACAACATATCAAGTGTTAAATCTACCTCAAAAGGGGTCTAAAACATGTTAACACTTCATAAACAACCACGAACAAAGTTTAAACATTTCACCAAACACACGGTAGGCATACTAACTAACCTAACTACTACTTGTTGAATTCAAGAGATTAATCCCAAATCTCATCCAAAACAACCTGTAGTTTGCCATTAAAACTTAAGGTACATGATATAACACCATAAAACTATAATTTAAAGATCATTTACCTCTCTTGTAAGAAGCTTGAACCACCAAAACAATCCACCAAAATGAAAGCTTCAAGATTGAAACAAACTCTAGGGTTGGAGGAGATTCACTCTACTGACTCAAACTCTTTTTCTTTTGGTTTTAGCTCTTGATGAAACTAGGGATAGAAAGCAAACAAAATGGAGTTTTCTCTCTTTTTCGAGAAGCTTCAAGAATTCAGCCAACCTAAGAAATAATAGAGCGAAGAATGGTTTAAATTTCCTCTAACCTTTGGTCAAACAAAATACATGGCTAGGGTTTGGCTATTTGGCCCAATTCTTGTCCATTTCTTTCTTAATTTTTGACTAATGATATTTCAACTCTTCCAAATGTTCGAACACCTATTTAACACCTCTAAACTATCATATAAATTCCCAACCACAATAAAAGAATATTTGGTGAAAATGCAAGGGGTGAATTAAACTAAAACCAACTCAAAGAAATGTTTTAATTAAAGTAGAGGAAATGAAATGCAATACAAGGGAATTATTGCAACAAATGTAGAATATAATGCAAGGGCAAGTAATAAGTGGTTTAAATCTTAAGACAAGGTATGTAGTTTAGTGAAATTGTATTTTAAAGTGAGGGTTCTCACACTCTCTCCCCCTTAAAGAATTTCGTCCTCGAAATTCTCAACTTGATTATTGTATAGCTTAGCATATTTTACGTAAATGTCCTCTTGAACTCTCTCGAGTCCTGTGGTCACATACTATAGTAAAAGACTAGCAATACAAAGCCATATTATGAAGAAATTAAGGTTCCAAAACTTTATTTAGAATATACATCAATTTAAAGTTTTATACCCGTATAACCTATCAAAATATAATACTTGCTTGTTCCAATCAAGGAGTAATCCTCATGTACTTACTAATCAATGTTGCCAGAGTCACTTAGATTACAAGAGTGTCACTTATAGTCAAACGTTTGGAGAAATTAGAAAAGACGTTCAAAATACAAAGTTGGAAGTTGTCCGACCTAAAATGATTTGAAGAAACTCGTTTCCTTTCATTTAAGCTCAATTCCACTCATTAACTAACCTCAAAATAGTTTATCAACTGCAATCCTAAAGTTGGAAATGAAAGTACGAACAGTCCTAGGAAAACAGAAATTTTCTAGCTTTGCGCGATACCATTTTAAAAATCATATCTCAAGTTTCTTAAATCCAAAATTTATAAACTTTATACCAACAGAAAATAGATTCAAAGGATTACAACTTTCTAGAAAGCACCATTGTAAGATCCTATCCACAAGTCAGTCAAATTCCAACCTAAATTTTCTGTTTCACCCAGTAAAAGATAGAACAGGTATGCAATTTCAGTCAATTTTTGCAAAATCAGAGATATTCATAGAAATTGAGAACAATGCTGAAATTTTCACAGTTGATAGTACTCTGAATCTAGTTTCAAATACAACAAACAGAACTCAATTTTTTTTTATCAAGATATAATAGGTGTTCTAAAACTGCTTAAGGTTCCCTGCGGACAAATTTTTAGTGGCACTTCATTTGTATTTACTAATTTTTTTAGCCAATTCAAGGCCTCATTCTTCCCACAAAATAGTTTCAACTCAAGCATATACATACCAAGCCAACAATTTACTAAACCAAGCATATAACTGTTACCTACTCAAGTTAGAAAATGAAACCCTGAGCTGAAATTCCTACTCACAAGTTGGAATTTTCTTTAGGCAAGTCAAACTAGCATATAAAGCAAGATATTTCACATAGCAAAGCTATCAGACCATGGCCAACACTTAAGCATGATGTGTGGGTAGAAAATTCACCATAAAACTGAAAGTTACCACAACACTACTTCAACCCCTGAAATTTTCCCATAAAACTACCAAAATTACAACCTTAATCGACTAGTTTACATATATTGGAAGTAGAGGAAAGTTGCTAGCGAAAGTTACCTTGTAACCTCAAAAAAGATGGCAACTTAGGGCTTCTTCCTCCAAAATCACTCCACCAATACCTTGAAATCTATCTTAGTTAGCATTTCTATGGAGTAGTTTGCAAATTGGTTGGTTGAAACTCAAGATTCAAACACAAAATTGAGGTTAGAGTTGAAGGTCTCTCTTTGGCTTTTCTTCTCCCTTTGTTCGGCCGATCAAGAGGAAAAATGAAGACAATTCGGTCAAATTTTTGATTTAGTCAAGGTGAAGAATGTAACACAGATTTTAATCTCGATAAAAGAAGAGTTAAAACTTGGTTACTATTCTTGCTAGCTCTTAAACCTATACGCTGTACATTGAATAATTTATTTCTTTTGAACGACAAACGAAAGATCTTCATTTAACTTAAAGACTAAATTATAGCAATAAACTCATGGACAAGGATCCAATACTGCCCAACCACCAATATTTAATAGCACTTATTAAAATAGCAGGTATCAAGTCCACTGTTTCTAACGGGAATAGAGCTTACTATATAAAATTTCACTACGCAGAGTCCAATGATCACAACTATTTCAGGCAAGACCTCACTAAGGACTAACTTGACTATGAATGTCTTGCGATGCTATTCGACTAGGCAAATGCACTAATTCAAATTTATTCCGTACCTCTTCTAGAATCTCTTCGCATTTCTTTTTCAATTCTATGTTCTGGTGCAGTAGTTCAATTTTCTCGAAGAATTTTTGTTCCAATCGTCCTTCCCAGTGCTCAGTTAATCTCTTTTAGAACTCTATTTCCTTTCGAATAATCTCTATTTTTTTATGCAGATCAGTCAAATTTGTTATCTCGCCGATTCACTTAACTCGATGATAGCTTGCCAGGCAAATCAAAGGAATAAAATAAGTAACTAATTACGATGGGAAACTCTAGTCATATAACTTTTAAATCCATTCACTTCCAATCCAACCACGAGAAATTAAATTTATCTATTCTTAAATGAGATAGACAAGAAAGTAGAATACAGGTAGAGCAATATCTGAAAATACTATGGCACTTGGGGTTTTAACACAAGGAGTATCCTTACCACTTATGTACATAATGAAATTCTAAAGTATATTTCGTATCTCAAAAGTTGCACACCCCATCTCAAGCTTTTGGATACAGGCATAAACCCAATTCTTTTCCTTAAACCCCCATACATAATTCCAAAACTCTCAATCTCGACACGGTAATAATCAAGCCAAGTCCATACTTTGATATTAGTGGATAGGTGTCAAGGAAATATAGGTAAGGGTAGTTTGTCGAGAGCCAAGCTACAGGTATCAGATATCACAAGAGAGGTGGAAATACCTATATAGTTGCAGTTAATACCGCCTCCTAATCCAGTAAACATTTATCAAATCCCCACAGTTATAGGAGAAGAAAATAGGTCTTCAGTTCAAATTTCTCGACGTAAACTACAATCTATCTACGGTCTATTGAAACCCTAACCAGACTATGACTAGATTAGTCCATAATAACCTTCCAAGATCCATTCCCTCAATCAGTCCAATTACTAGGTCAACTGTTAGAGTCTTCCGCGTGTTGATTTTTGCCAACAAAACTTATCTCAAGTGCAATCAAGATACAGACCCTTATTCTAGTGCTCTCTATTCTTTGGGTACTCAAGTATAAGAATCCACAATATGATAATTCACAATTCAAGCCGACCGGTCCCAAAAGTAAATCACCCACATTAGAGATTCCTACCTGATATACATATCTATTTTTTCCAAGTACCATGATAAAGGGTTTACGCTTATAACAGTCATGATTCATAGCTTATACCCAAGAAGAGCACCTAGTCCTTTCTACTTACTCACATAATCGGAATAATAACACCACTTGACCCCAAACTCACTCCGCGCAAGGACCACGCGAAGCAGTAAAAATATCTTCCATTGTTTCAAACAAGTTCTCATCAGCTTTAGGGTCTGGTCCTCTAAGAAATTTAGGAGGAGCGAATTTTTGGAACCGTTCTAGGGCCCTATATTCACCTACTTCAGGGTCCCTTTGTTGGTTACCAAGTACTTGACCTTGCTGGTCAATCAAACGGGCCAGTAAATCAGTCATACGATTGATAACTGTAACTACCTGGTCCCCTTCTTCACCTCTGGCTCCCTGGTATTGGTTTGCCATAGAACCTTGCTCCTCCTCTTGGTTCTGGGCCTGCCTAGATCCAGGCCAATGGCCCCGACCACGTTGTCGTCTAGTCTCCATTATTACTCACTGGTTTAGATCCAAGTATTATAACTAACGGGGTAAGCAAGTATGGGTATATACCAGATACTGATTCATATTTAAAAGTCAAATAAAAATGAAATCGGAGTCACGATAAACAAGTGAAAATGCAAAGCAGTTAAACGCCAATGCCGAAATAAAGTCAAAGTCAAAGTCTAAATCAAGATCAAAGTCAAAGTCAAAGTCACCGTATTATACATTCAAAGGCTCATAGCAGTTGTTTACAAGATAACGAGACCAAAAGTATCAAGTACTAGCCTCAAAAGCACAGATATAGTCATACAGTCATATTAAACGAAACCCTAGTTTAAGTAGTAAAAAAAAAGCTGTACAACCACCGAGTCACCAAATCCCCTATCCTTTCTATGTACAGTAATCAATATCTTCCACAATAGTAACCTAATAGTGAAGGCCTAATCCGCAGCGGGA